GGTTTTTGCCATGTTGGCCAGGCTGACAGGTAGATAGGCTGGAAGCTAGGCCTCCTGCACTAAGCAGTTAGCCAAGTTGTGAATGCAATGGAAAAGCTTTTGAAGGAAATTAAAAGTGCCACTCCAATGAACACATGAATGATAAGAAAGTGAAGCAGGCTTATTGCTGATAGGGAGAAAGTTTGTGTGGTCTGAGTAGAAGATCAGACCAGCCACATCACTCCCCTAAGCCAAAGACTAGGCTGGGTGTGGTGGCTCACACCACTAATTCCAGCACTTTGGGAGGTTGCGGTGGGAGGATCGCCTGAGGTCAGGAGTTTGAGACCAGTCTGGCCAACATGGCAAAAACCTGTCTCTACTAAAAATACAAAAAATTAGCCGAGTATGGTGGCAGGCACCTGAAATCCCAGCTACTTGGGGAACTGAGGCAGGAGAATTGCTTGAACCTGAGAGGCGGAGGTTGCAATGAGCCAAAATTGCACCACTGTACTCCAGCCTGGGTAACAGAGATACTCTGTCTCAAAAAACAAACAAAAATACCCCCCCAAAAAATAAAAAAACAAAGACTAATCCAGAGCAAGGCTCTAGCTGTCTTCAATTCCATGAAGTCAGAGAGATGAGGAAGCTGTAGAAGAAAAGCGGAAGCTAGCAGAGGTTGGTTCATAAGGTCTTTTTTTTTTTTTTCCCAGCTCTCTTCATGCAAGTTCATAAGGTTTAAGGAAAGAAACCGTCTCCATAACACAAAAGTGCAAGGTGAAGCAGCAAGTGCTGATGGAGAAGCCACAAGTTCTCCAGATCTAGCTAAGAGCCTTGATGAAGGTGGCTACACTAAATAGTTGAGTTTCAATGTAGATGAAACAGCCTTATATCAAAAGAAGATGTCAGTAGGTCTTTCATAGCTAGAGAGAAGAAATCAATGCCTGGCTTCAAAGTGTCAAAGGACTCTCTTCTCAGGAGCTAGTGTAGCTGGTGACTTTAAGTTGAAGCCAACTGCTCACTGACAATTCTGAAAATCTGAAGGCCCTTAAGAATTACGCTATGTTTGGCTGGGCGC